ATAAATACACAAAAAAATATATATGCAAAGGTCCTTTTTTTTTTGGTATCACTTTTGTAATATCAAAGGATTGGAAACAACATGTTTATCTTTAAGGTACAAGTTGAAACTGTTGTGTCTACAAAATGGAGTATACATACTTGCATAAAGGAATGGGGAATATATCTACTACTGTGAAATGATCTCCAGGAAACAACGTATGTATACAAACACTCCTCAACTTATGATAGGGTTTCATCCCGATAAACCCATTGTAAGTTGAAAATATCGTAAGTTGAAATGTTTTTAGAATACCTTAAACATGCTCAGAACACTTACATTAGCCTACATTTGGGCAATATCATGTCACTGCCCCTGCCCAGTATCACAAGAGAGTATTGTACCACATATTGCTAGTCCTGGAAAAGATCAAAATTCAAAGTAGCCCACCTGGCTTGGCTCAGTGGTTGAGCAGTGACTTATGATCCAGGAGATCGAGGTTTGATTCCTGGTCAGGGCACATGCCTGGGTTACTGGCTGTATCTCCATCAGGGGACGTACAGGAGGCACCAGATCAGTGACTCTCTAATTGATGTTTCTGTCTCTCCCTCTCCCTTCCTCTCTCTGAAATCAATAAAAACATATTTTTTAAAAAATAAAAAGTACAGTTTCTTCTGAATGCTTATCACTTTTGCACCATAGTCAAGTTGAAAAATTGTAAGTCAAACCATTGTAAGTTGGGGACCGTCTGTAGCATATTTATATGAGTGTAAATATGATTGTATATGAAAGGGGGATATAAACATTCTCATTCATAATTTGCTTGTATTGAAAAAAGGAAAATAAAAAGAATTGTAAAGAAATCTTAACACTTAGTAATCATATTATTAGTAATGCATTGTTATTTTGAAACTGTTACACATATACTAAGGTAAAGCAAATAAATAATTTTATTATTATATTTGTAGTAAGTTTATTATTAGTGTTTTTTGGAACAAGAAGCTCAACCCAAATGATGCTATAATAAATATAAAATCAAAGAATTTAAAAAACCTGAGTTTGAATTGGAAATATTAGTATAAAGTCTTAATGCATTGTCTCTGAAAATATATACATCTTAGCTTATTCTATTAAAAAAAAATCTTTAAAATGATCAATCCAGTAGTAATAGGCTCATCTAGTACTCCGATTACATTTTTATTTCCATTTTAAATAGAAACCGGACTTCTTGATGAAATGGCTGATTTATAGTTCGAGGCAAGAAATATACAAGATGAGTCTGGTTTATTTATCTTGTGGGACCAGAAATCTACTGTCAAATCTACTTGAGGTCTTGTCAAAAGAATTCTGGCACTAGTAAAGGGTTTCCTGTTAACTAAAGATGGAATAATTTGGACATTAGCAATGATACTGACAGTGGATTAAAACTCATCAAATAATTTCAGATCCATGAGTTTTTAATGAGACTTGAAAACAAACTATAATTTTATTCAAGTGCTCATAAATATGATGGTGGGTTTTCTTTTGTTAAACTGCAAAAGGTGAGGAAGAAAATCCATTGTTTTTAATAATCTACCACTTTATTACTATTGTGCTAGTGAGATTTAATATAATTAATAAGAATAACTCTTAAATGATATACAGATACTTACATTGTATAAAAGATCAGTGATATTGGTTATTACCAAAATAAAGTGTTAGCGGAAGCTCAGAAAGATTTCTTAGTGCCAAATTATATTTGTGAATTTTATACAAAAATGTGTAGTCATATATATCTGATTTGTTTGTTTATATATACATCCATCCACCCATCAGACATATATTGAGCTCTTTATGTAGTACACAGTATACAAAGGGCAACAAGTAAAAATCCCCAAACTCCAGAAACATGGTAGAGTATCAAAGGTGTAGAATACCAAAAAACAAAAGAAAACAAACTTATAGGGGTTATTACATAGTGTTTTCACCATGTGATGTGTATAGATAGTAGTATGGATAGGATGTTTTGGGAGTGCTAAGGAAGGCTATCTAATTTAATGTTGGGTTGAGAATGGAGTCAGGAGATATTTACTGGAGAAATACCCATGAGGTGAGGCTCAAGTAAGAACTATATAGTGCGTG